TGTCTGAAGGCAACCCCTGTGAGTTGCAAAGGAGTCAGCTTCCCCGGGAGCAAGCCGGCAGGAACCGGGAAGGGGGTGCCACGAGGACATCTCCCAGAAACACCAAGAAGAGGGCTGGAGTCTGAGACAGATTGGCACAGTGACAAGTGATAGGCAGAGCCTTCCCCGGCAGCCGGCATCTCAACTCACACTTCTGGACTCCTCCACAGGGAGAAGATGGAGTCGCCTTTGCTGGCGTCTTGGAAGTCTACTGTGGGGAGAAGGTGGTCTCTCCCTGAGGCAAAGATATGGCCCATCTGCTCCGGAATGGCCATGACTTTGGGAACACCCCCACCCCCAGGCAGTTCTTCTCACTCCTACAGGGTTGCTATCACTTGGAATCGGCTCAGGGGCAGTGGGTTTTGTGTTCGGTTCAGAACAGCAAGTGCAGCCAGCCTTCCCAGCAGGAACCACATCCAACCCTCCACAGGCAGGGCTAGTTAGAGTAAGCTGGCCCTGCCGGCACAAGCCTGTCCAGAGCGCATGAGCAGACGGCGAGGGCCGTCTCCCCAAGAGTGTCCAGGGAGCCCAGGCCCAGGGCTCCTGGCGTGACTGAAGCAGCTGCACCAGACCCAAGTCAACCTCCACTTCGGATCAGGGGACACGAGAGATGCAGTGGCTGCAGCTGTGGGCTCCAACGTGGCAGCTGGGAGGGTGGCGCAGGACCGGGTGATGTTTTGCCCACTCTTCCATGCACGGGGCCACTGTGAGCCGACGGCCCTAACAATGGCAGGTATTTGAGCACCAAGTCTCTGCTCCGGTAAGCCACCTGGAGCCAGCAGCACAGTGTGAGCTTGTGCGAGGAACGGACTGTCCTTCAGAGATGTCGGTCGGGAGTATTTTCGCCACCGGATGCATGCACGAAGAGTGCTGGGTCCAGCACACCCCGGGAGGTTAGGCAGTGGGTGTGCTAAGGTTCTTTGCGGGGTTACAGTGTATGTTTACCCCAAAACAGAAGGCACTGCCCCAGAGTCCACTCTGACTCTGAGTGACCCCACAGGGCCAAGGAGAAGGGGCCCTGTGCGTGTCGAGATAGAAGCTGTACCAGGGCAGACAGTCTCATCTTCCTCCTGTGCAGTGTCTGGTGGGTTCAAACCACTGGCCTTGTTGTTAGCAGCTTGCTGCGTGGCCCCCCATGCCGCCCTCCGAGCGCCTTAGTGGGTGGGATGAGACGTACACTTGTCTGGTACTGTTTGTCCATGCTGACCGGTGGCAGAGTGGAACTGCTCTGTCGGGCCTTTAAGGTGGGGACCCTGGAGGAGAAGGTCACCAAGCCTTTCGTGTGGGGGCCTCTGGCAGCAGCTGGACCCTGAGCTGTTTGTGTGACCCTGAGACTCCCGACAAGGAGAGAAGCAGTTGGAAGGGGGGTGGGGAGGGGGCAGGGTAGAGCCCTGTGCACCCGCATACCACAGAGAAGATGGTCCCGCTGGTCTTCAGATTAAAATGGGTCCCGGCGACAGCCAGCACCACGCTCTGGGGGGCCGAGCTTCCTGCCTCCTGGTCCTCATCCAAGCCATTGGCTCGGCCTTTCCCACCACGGGTGTCTGCAGTGGCAAGGCAAACATCAGGGGCACTGCCCTGCCAGAGGCTGTGTTCCCTGCGGGTCCCCTCCCCACTTCCTGGCTGATGGATGTGGCCAGCTCTCGTCGAGACAGAGAGGGCCCCAAGAATGCAGGACAGAACGCACCCATGGCTTTCAGGGCTCTGACCTGGTAGGCCAAGGTTCACCTGGCCCCTCTTCTGAGGCACCTCTGGGAGGGTTTGAAACCGCCAGCCTTAACTGTCGGTGCCACCCAGGCAAGCACGCGGCTCCTGAAACTGAGGCTTGTTGGTCAAGGCAGTCGGGCAGTGGAACGATTCTAAACCCGAGGCTGAGCGCCGTGGCATCGGCCACAAAAACAGGAAGACTGACAAAAGAGACAGACAGCAGGTCCAGGATCTAATTTCTCAAAATGTGAAGACGAAGCTTCCTTAAATGCTCCTACAGTCTTTTTGGGTCCCCATACCGTATGTTTTACATAATGACCACGGAGAACCAGAAACCAGAAACAAACCCACACTCAAGGCCAGGCAATTGATGCCAACCCTTAGGGACCCTGTAGGACCGGGTGGCACTGCCGGGGGGCGTTTCTGAGACTGCAGATCTTTATGGGAGTAGAAAGGCCCATCTTTCTCCTGGGGAGTGGCTGGTGGTTTCAAACTGCTGACCTTGCAGTTAGCAGCCCAGCGTGGGGCCACACCACCACCAGGGCTCCTTGACCAGATAGAAAGGCCCCTAAAATTACACGATTAAACAGCTGCCTCTTAAGTAACTGCCCAAGTGACCTGGCGGCTGATTCAATAATCACTTATTCAATTGTAAAACACTGGAGGAGATGAAAATGTAAAATTATTATATAGATACAATATAGATAGATGTGTAAGCAACAGGCATATATACTGAAATACATTTTTTAAATGTGGTTTTCTGTTTTCGGGGGTGGGGAGGGGGTGTGATGGTTAGTGCTATGTGTCAGCTTGCTAAACCGTGGTCCCCAGTGCTTTGGCAAGCATCACAGAACCACGTTACGCTGTGTGCTCTGCTGTGCACAGCCTGTCAGTTGAAAGGGGTGTTTTTTTTTTGGGGGGGGGGCTCTGTCTTTGTCTTTTTTTCACTTGACCTCTGGCTCTTGGGCTTGAGCCAGCAGCCTGTTGCTCCAACTAGAGATTTGGGGGATTCGCCAGCCCCTGCAGCCCCGTGAGCCAGCAGCCTGCCACCTGACTGGCAGTTGGGGTTCATCAGCCCTGTGAGTCAGGACAGACGTCCAGCCTGAAGCCTGATCCCAGGATTTGGGACTTTCCCATGTCCACAATTGTGCGAGCCACTTCCTCAAAATGGTACCAAGCAGTGCTACAAAATGACAGACACCTTTCATAGACAGAGCTACCCCAAACGCATAGCTCCTGTCTCTTGATGACACTCCCCTTAGGTCGGCATTCTCCTGAGACCCTTCCCTGGGAGAGTCTACTCTCTCCCACTTCCTCCACCTCTGGGCATCTCGGAGGGCCTCGGATGGCGTTTCTGAGATATCCCTGGAATTTCTCAAATGGAGAGAAGTCTGAGGGTGCAAGAAGGAGGCTGTGGGACGGCTTCCAAAGGAAGTCCCATAGCGGAGTGAGCATGCTCATCCTCCCGAGGGGAAACACCTGGGTGCAGCTCCCCTGGCCCTCCCCAGCAGCTGCTTCCCATCCCCGGAAAACTTCTGAACAAGCCCCCTGGTTTTCCTGAGCCTCTGGAGTTTAAAAGCCTGTGTCAATGACTCCTTTGTAACCCCCCAAGGCAGTCACACCGTCTGAACGGGCCTCTGTGCCTCCACTCTCACTGGCTCAGCAGATGCCCTGGGAAGAAGCCACTGTTTTGATGCGACCTTTTTTGAAGGCCCCCTCAGGAGACAAGACAAGTGCGTTGCCCAGAGAACTGGTCGGCCGCCCGCTGTGGATGGCAGAGACACATTGGGAGATGCTTTGTTTAGAGTAACCCCGTGGGCATAGGAACTGGAACCCTAGCAGCAAAACTCCTGAGGGGCCCCGGTGGACTTCTCAGCATCCACCTGCCTCTCTGGGTGAGCTGCTCTGGAGAGCCCAGCTCCAGACGGACCACCGTGCGCAGAATCGTGCGCATGGAGGTGGCCTGGTTCTGCTGAGCTAGGTAGCAGAGGCTCCTGCCCACTTGAATGCCCACTGAATGACTGACCTTTAAAACTCATCCATAGGAGACTCTGACGAAAGGCCCGGCCACTGACCACCCTGAGGAGGGCCGCCCTGGAATGCCCAGGGTCCACGCCATGATGACGGTGTTGGTTTGAAGGAAGCAGATGCCGTCTTACCTGTGAAGTCATAGAACTGCGGCAAAGCATCCAGGATGATGCCCACCAGCGGCAGGTAGAGGGCGGCAACCTTGACCTTGACCTCCGGCCTAGCACACCTGGGGTCCAGGTCGTGACTGCTCAGTAGGCTGTAGATGGCATTGACGGCCTTTCTTTGCACTTTGCTGACCCTGGGGGCACAACAGAGAGCAGGAGTCAGGGTGTAGGGACGTGGCCTGAGAGGACAACCCGCAGGGACACCAGCGTGGCCCAAGCCACGAGGAGCAGCAGGAGAAACCAGGTGGAAGGGGTGGGCTCTGAGGTGGCCGCGTGTCCCCCGCCCCTGTTTGGGCTTGCTCTCCAGAGTCATCAGGCTGCAGCAGGAATCGCCAAGCACCCCAGTGCTGCAGGGGTGGGCCGCACCCCCTCCCCCTGCCTCAGCCCAGGGGCCCGGCCTGTTCCCCCTGCCAGGCTATTACGAGTCACAGTTGCTGCCCGGAAGGAAACAAACTCCTGCCACCGAGCTGATCCGACCCACAGTGACGACAGAGGACAGAACACGGCTGCCCCATGGGTTTTATGTGACTGACAGTTGTTAGGCGAGTAGAAAGCCTCCTCTTTCTCTCTTGGATCCACTAGTGGTTTTGAACTGCGGACCTGCTGTTAGCAGCCCAAAGCTTAACCCACTATGTACACCAGGGTTTCTGGTGAAGTGTTCAAACCGGGCACCATCAAGTTGGTTCTGACTCCTAGTGACCCTTTAGGGCAGAGCCGAACTGGCCCATGGGCTTCCCACACTGTAAATCTTTATGGGAGTACAAAGCCTCATCTTTCTCCCTTGGAGAGGCTGGTGATTTCGAACTGCCGACCTCATGGTGAGCAGCTCAGCATGTGGCCCACTGCACCGCCAGGGCTTCTGTGGGCTGTTGACCTCAGAGTGCAATGGGAACTCCACGTTTCCCTTTCTGAGGGCAGCCGCCTGTTTCCCAAAGCGGCGGCACAAATCGCCACCAGCAGTGAGAGTTGGCACTGCTGCCTGAGTGCCTGAGGGTCATCTGGTCATCCAAGCTGTCCATTTGCAGTTGTTCGTGACATTCACAGAGAGCCCCACGCCCAGCCCATGCCCACTGAGTCCACTCCGACTCGTGTCCGGTCTGTCAGGGCTGTTGATCCTTCTGGGAGCAGACAGCCTCGTCTTTCTCCCACGGAGCTGCTGGTGGGTTTGAACTGCAGCCAGGCAGTTAGAAGCCCACGTGTTGACCTATAGCACAACCAGGGTCTTCCTGTGGAGTCCCTTTGCTTCTGTAAGGTGGGTCTCGATGGCCCCAGACCCCTCGCTTCTTACTGGAGGCTGGTGGGTTCCTGCATTCTCTCGAGGGGAGCTCAGGGAAGGCTGGTTCCCGCTGGTTCTGTCTGGGTGCCAGCTCGAGGGGTGCCGATTTCCCTCT